GTCGCGCCGGTCCCCTTTGCCGCTCGGCCGCTCTCCTGAGGCCGCGTGCTTTCTGGCTCGGGGCTCCTCGTACCGGTGCCTCGCGCGGGCCGCGCTCCTGGGCACGCCTCCCGCCGGGTTTGCTGGCTGTGTTTTTTCATGTTTTCTGTGATATGGAGATGCTTGGCTGAAAAGTGAAAGTGCTTTACACTGATGTCGTCGTTAGACAAGTCATGACTAGGGCGAGGTGAAACGTTCTGCTGGGTACGTTTTTGGCGCCTTGGGCATGTTTTGGTGAAAGGTGCCTGTTCTCAATAGCCCCAAAACTGAGCCGCTTTGTCACGTGGTGGATGCTGGCGTAACACCCCGCTTGGGAAGCCTCTCTCCAGATTTTTGCGTCTGGATTTTGCAAGAGGTAGAAACAGTTTTCATAGTTGAGCTGTCATCTAAAAGACATGTCCAGTGGACTGGTTTAGGGCTAGGAAAGGGGGAAACTTGCTCTTCTGCTGTTGCTGCTGGCTGGTCCTAGTACCTCAAAGTTCATGTAGAAGATGAGCATCTCTTCTTCCTCATTTTGTAGCAGGGAGCGGGGAGATGAGCCTGCTTTCCACAGAGCTTTGATTTTGGTGAGCCCTGCTGCAGGCCACAGGCAGGTTTTTGCCCCGTTCTCCTGCTCCCGAAGCACGGGGAAGGGTAGATGTAGCCACCCGTGAACGGGAGCGGGTTGAGGTTGGCGCCTCGGAGCGAGGTCTGACGTGAGAAGACGGACGTGAGCGTTGAGCTTGGCGCCGTGCAGCGCACCAGGATGGACCCCAGGAGCCGTTAGGACCCCGGGGGGGGGAAGGCCCAGGGAATTCCCGCTTGCGTTGGGAGGTCGCTGCGTTCGCCCCGGAGCGGTCGCGCAGAGCGAGGCCCGGCGTTGGAAGGAAGGGCCCCTGGCTCCGAGCTCGTGGTGGGACGCGGTTGTTGTGCTGGGTGTTCGGCGGCACCTCGCACCCGGGGCGCGGGCACCCCGCTGGGCGCGCGAGGAAGCAAGGATAGCGCGGGCCTGGGAGGCTGCGAGGACCTACGCGCGGTCAGCGACGGCTGGCGGTCCTCGCCACGTGCCGCTTTTCGCGGAGCTGTGACATTAATACCGTGGCAAATTGTAAGTAGCTGCGGAGGGAAATATGACTGCTTTTGGCTCTTTGGTTGCCAGCCTCACCCCCATTTGTCTTCGAGTGGATTAGCTGAGCATTGTAATACTAATGCCATTAGGCACGTTGGCACTGCTCAACATGTCACAGTGAGAAACAGATGCAGTATACCATTAAAGCAATAAACGTGATAAATCAGATCCCAAGTGCTTTGCGAGATGTTATTAGTGTTAATTTTGGTAGCCTGATACAGTCGTTTTTTGTTTTGTTTTTGTTTTTTTATTTTTTAGCGTTCGCAATTTATGTTCCACTGAACTCAGCTGCAAGTGAAACTTAAAAAAGAAAAAGAAAGGGGAAAAAGCCCCGCAAACTCTGCCCGTGATTATTTCCAGAGTTGGAGGACAACTT